CTTTTGCTGCTGTTTTGAGATGCGTTATCTTTCTGTTGAAAAGACTTGTCAAGCTTCACCTCAGTGGTGATTACTTGAAGGCCTCTGTGCCTAAAAACTTTACCAAGTACGTATGCACAGACTTGTGTAGTACAGAGGTAAGGGTCACCTCCAGAAAACGGGAAAGAGACATCTGCTTGAGAACTCGACCAGCCTTCAGTGCAAGGGTCTGCTTTTCTTGAAAGCTCATACTTAACGTGATGTTCATATTGAATGTTCATCTGGCAGCTGGCATAACAATCTGCAGTTCTTGCATGAACCGGGGTTTGATTCTTTGCTGAGGAACAGGCAAATAATCACAGCTACAAAATCAGGTGTATTAGTAACTTCTTTTTTTGAGGAACAGGGAGCACAGCAGGTTATTGAATTCTGTCCCATTTTCCAGCTTAAAGTTTAGGCACGCAAGAGTTGCATGGTGACAGTGCAAAGATGGGTGTTCAAGTGCAATCACTTGTAATTCGTTATCTGTGTAACAAGGGAGAACGAAGAAAGCTTCGAAGATGTTCAGTGAAGGTGCTGAAGAAACTGATCTGTTGTCATCTTCTTGCTGTAGCAGGGACACAATGGAATTAATCGCCTTCTGTCCCCTTCACAGGTTTGCACAGATGAAGAATGAAGTTATTCAATCTCTGGCCTTTTTTATTCTGGCAAGATACCTTTTAATCACTACTGTATGTAATATTTACATAAAGACTGTGCTGAGAAACAGTATAAAAGTTGAACTTACGAAGACTGCACAAGTGACAAGCGTCACTTTCTCTGCTGCTCCTGTACGTTTTACTTGGCACATGTTGCTCACGTGACAGTGTCCGCGAGGTGGAAGAAGCTGCATGTTTCAGTGAAAGTGCCATTACTACTGTATATGGACCATATCCTTTTTGTTCTTGCTCCCGTTTCTCATTTGATTGAGAACTGTAATGTTAATACGTAGTATTTTTGAACTCTTTAGGTTCAGAAAAATGCTGTAGTGTTATCGGGCGTTATGGACCTTGTTTTTTAATCTGTTTGTTGAGTGCACTGACTGTGAACTTTTACTGGGATTTTTGTTTATTTGTTTTTTGGCAAGCTTCAGATTTGTTATGCAAAAGGCTGATTAATGAAATTTTAAAAGAAGTTTTTTTCTCAATAAATGGTTTATTTTAGGAGTTGTTGGTGAAGGGGTTTTCTTCTGAAAATAAGTATGTGGGGTTGTGTCACATTTTAAACTTATTTTTGCAACGCGTGTTTGAGACTGCTACGCTAACCCAACCGGAATAAGCTTCTCTAATAGCGCAGTGGTCAATGTTTTGTCAAGTTCAAGATATGCAGTGTAAAAAATGCTTCTTTCTTACACAGGTGGGTTCCCTCCCTTCCTCCTCTTCTGAGGCAATAAGGTGATGTACAATTCCTGATACTATGTAGTATCTAAGGGGAAGAGTCATGGTTTGAAGTAACTTTCTTCTGGAATGAAAAAGTACTGCAAAGAGAGAGCATTTCTGTGGCCAAGGATTCAGTTAAGGTTATTTTTGTGTTCTGTGTGGCAAAACCAAGAACATACTGTTGTTAGCTTTTTTAATACTGATTTCTGATCCTGGACTTCGATGACCCCGCCATCCCCCAGCTGTCATCGGTGTGAGAAAATGACGAGAGGTTAGAAGTTGTTAACAATTAGAAGAAACACTCTGTAACACTGGATCTAGTTAGATTATTTTGTTTGACTTGCTAGTACAAACAGATGACTTAAAACCTGTTACTTGTAAGTATTAGTACAAGTTTCTATATTCCTGTTCAGCTTTAGACCTTAAAATGGGTTACTTGCTTATAAAACAGAGAACTTGCTTTTTATATTTGGCTTTATTCTAAAGTCCTATTTCTCCTCTTAACCCACAAGGCCTTGGTTTGTTTCAGGTGTGCAGTAGCTTTTAGCAGGTGGGTGACCTGTTACGAAAGTACTGTGAAGTCTGACATTTAAATCTAGAAGAGGATGATCCTCACTGTGCAGGTCACCACTGAAGTTAAAGACTCTCTCTTCTCTTCAGGTCTCTCTTTTCACTTATGATAGTAGAAAGCACGTTGTCATCCTCAGCAACAGACTATGACCAGAGGTAAAAGTCACCCCTCCAGCCAGCTGTGTGCTTCACTTTGCAGTGTATCATCAGAAGTGTCTGAGTGGTTTGTGTCCTTACTTGCGTTGTCTCAGGCGCCCCTGTACACAAACAGGGCCAACTCTTAAAAGTCAGGGTAAAGGTGAAAAGTAAACTTGTTGCCAACCAAAAGAAAACTCCTTCACTCCACATTAGCTTTTTATACTTTTTTATTTTTGTATAAACAAACGTTAAGACTACTTTTGTTAAGGCAGTTGTAGAACATATAGTTGCTTGTGGGGACGAGGGGCAAACACTGCTTCCTAATGACATATGTCATTCTTCTAATACAGTGAGATGGACTAGTGTAACTTTGGCAAGTTCCAGTACTCTTGCTATGTTTGCCAGTGGACACTGGCAGGGCCCAGTGCTGCAGTCCTCGGGTGCTGGGACTGCCACGAGTGCTTAGGAGGACGGATCCAGGAGCGGCATGTGCCAGGGAAACGAGTAAGGAATGGTCTAAATACTTTCTCAGAAGTATTTACATGGTTGGTATTTTCCTCTGGGAGAAGTGGCACTACATGCAGCTGGAGAGAAAGGGACTAAGAGTCATAAGGAATGTTCAACGTCACCCTGCCAGCTCGTTTCATCAATGGCTCTCCAAAAAGGCAAAAAAGCTACTCTCTGTTGCTGTATGAATACGTATTTGCTGCTCAGAACGATTTGCCCTGCACATAGGGTTGTTCTTCTACACTAATACTCGTCGACTGTATCTGCCAGGTAAGAGTTACAGTAAAACACTAGCTTGGAGAGTGCTCTTCTCTCTGCCATCCCCCCCATTTTCAGGGTCTTGTGTACAGTGTCTTCAGGCCTGGCTCAGTAACATGCTTGCTGCATTACTGTGGGACAGCTGGACTGTCAGACACTACCACAGTCTGTAATACTTGGTTTTCCACTGTTAGGGTTGAAAGAACAGCTTTATAAGCATGGCAATATTTTCTGATCTCGAGCTCTATTTCCTGTGTTCGAAAAACTACACTAAAGCCCATATGTTTATGTTCATGACCTCAAACAACCTCTTCCAGAGAGCTTCAGAGCATAGGGGATGCATGTGTACACAAGTCAGGGCGGGGGGATGAAGCCCCTAAACCAAGTCCCTCGCCTGTCCCAAGGCCTGTTCCTTCCTTCACATTATACTTTTTACTGCCTCCATTCTCCACTTTTTACTGCCCCATGCTAAAAGCACTACTCCACCTGCTCTTTAGGTTCTGTGTATTACAAGAGTGTAGTTTCCAGATAACTGGACATACTGAACAGCAAATGCATATTTCATGGAATGATTCATATGCTGTTGTATTAGCCCCCATTTCTTCTGGCCTC